CAGTTATGCACTAGGCCTAAACCACGACAATATTGCTAATCAGAACATATACAAAGCATCCACTTATTGAAGTATATAGAATTTATACAACCAACTTCAATAAACATTAACAAAACATACACAAATAATAAACATACACAAATCCCTTGCAACCTAAAGCATAAGCAATGCCTCAAGCTCTCCATGACTGCAACTGTCCCAGCTTCTGGTGCTCTTATTTTCTTTTTTTTTTTTTTTCTTGTGAAAGCAAGCTACATAAAGGTTTTAGAAGCTTTTTTTTTTTTTTTTCTGTGAAAGCAAGCTACATAAAGGATTTAGAAGCTTCTTTTTGTTTGCCTAGATAAAATTAATCAACTTCACTGCAAGAGTAATTATTTTTATCAAAATATAGTTAAATGTAAATATATAACAAAATAATCTGAATGAAAAGGTGAAAAGACTGACTCCTCTTCTAGTAGGGAAAACTTCTGACTCATGTAGGGCAGCTAAATATTCCTAGCTATATTTTGGTTTAATAATAGTAACACAAAGAATGTCAGAAGTTAAACATTCATTTTTCACCAGATTTTTTTAGTACAAGCTGCAAACCATACAAATATCCTGGAGGAACAGAAGGAGGGAAATTCCAACTCCCCATGCCACAATGCACACTATAAAAAACTATACGGTCTAGATCAATTATTTTAATTCTACAGAAGTACAAGGTAACCAGTTTTAATTAGAGCAGTCATACTGCAGAATACTTCATGAATGGAGTAATATTTTAATAGTTGATAGGCTTTCTGTATACTAAGACAATGGCTCTGAACAGATTATCATACAGTCTACACTCATTCTGTGGAACATATAATAAATGAGATCTCTCACAACCTTTATTACATGGCTTAAAGTACCTTTTAAGAAAAAATATTATGAAGTAGAAAGTAAGGCACTATGTGCCTTAGAAACTAATGAGTAAGGTAGCTGTTTTTTACTGTGCTATTTGAGGCAACTGAAGTATTTTTTAATTAGTTTTTTAATTATTTTTTTAATGCCAGTTAGGTACAGGCTTTGTTCTGAATCTGCTGGTTCTTACACAATTGTCTGTGTAAATGATGAGCATGATAAAAGAGAATCTTTTAAAAGAAAAGCAGAATTCATACACAGTAATGTGTGAGGGTTTCCAAAGACATATTCCTTTACCTTCAGCACATTATTGCTACCACAGCTTCCACTTTTTCTAGAACTATGTTGATACTGTTTAGTCTTAAAAAAGAAGCGGAAAAAAAAAAGCCAGCAGCTAGCAGCATCATCCCCTACAGAAAGACAGCGAAATAAAAACAAAGTTGCCTTTAGCCTGTGACTGGTGCTGTTTTATTTGCCAAAACTTGACAGCCAGGGGTCGCCATTCCTCTCCTAGAAGTCACTGAGATTCAGGCAAGTCTTGCAAGTCTTGCGCTCTCTCGTAGTTTAAGGGCAGACAGAAAGTTTTTCTACCTACAGTTGCTACAAGCTACAACAGATGCAAAGGTGACTAAAAACATTCTTTTACAGGTGGTGTTTCAGTACTTGTCTAAAATAAAGAGACCAGCATATCAAGTTCCCTGACAGAAATGCACTCCTTTTGAATTTATTTACTGAAATACTGCTACTCTCTGCCTTCAGATCTACCAGCCATCATCCCAAAGCCCACAGGATTTAGGGAAAGTTCCTCTTCAAGGAAAAGGAAAGGAAGCTAAAGATTCTTCTTTCAACTCTTCTTCTTATGTAGCTGACTTTACTTCAAAAACCAGTGCATATGTTATTTCAGCCAGTCAAACACCATCACACAGTCGTATTCTTCCATTTTTACACTACCGCAGGAAAGATGAGAATATGCTTGTGATTAAACTAGAAGTGATGCACTTCTTTAACCAAGTTCTCCTGCCTCCTTAGTGCTCGCCAGGCCTTCAGAGAAACAGTGAATCTCATGCTTGTTTTAAATGAGTAAAAGCAGCCTCGGCAACAAACTTCAGGTGGAAAAGGGAATTATGCATAAAGAAGAGGATAAAAGCATTTCTGGCACTTATACATACATTCAGAAACTGACTTACGTTAGCGGAGATGCAGTTGGTGCTTTTGCCAGCCTTCTACTTTTCAGAGCACGAAGCTTATCACCTTGTGTTACACAGTTTGTTTCATCTTCATCACTGTACTAGATAAGCATTGGGGG